AATTCTGTCCACCTGAATTGAAGGTAAGGTAGATAGAAGGACCATTGCCACCGGATAGACCACTCAGTGATCCGTTTCTTCGTCCAGATAATGTTGGTGGAAAATAATTATGACGATGTGAACTCGATCGACTAGCATTCATAGTTATGTGGATTTGTGGACCATTTTTACCGGAGAGACCACTCCATGATCCATTTCTGCGTCCAGATAATCGTGGTGGAACATTACTCTGCTTTCCATATTTTTTATAATTGTAATTCCGTCCACCTGCATTCAAGGTTATTTGGATACGTGGACCATTTCGACTGGAGAGACCATTCAATGTTCCGTAACTTCGTCCATATAATCGTGTAGGAAAGTATTGATGTGAATATGTACTCGATTCACCTGCATTAACAGTTATGTAGATACAATGAGCATTGTCGCCGGATGGACGACTTAATGATCCGTATCCTCGTCCATATAATGGTGGTGGAAAATATGGATCCGAAATGGATCCGCCTGTATTCACAGTTATGTAGATACATTGATCACTTTCAATGGAGAGACCACTCAATGATCCATATACTCGTCCATATAATCCTCGATGAATATTACCATACTGTACATAATGATGGTGATGTGAACCCGATCCACTTGCATTGAGAATTATGTGGATTGGTGGACCATTTTGACCGGATAGACCACTCAATGATCCGTTTAATCGTCCAGATAATTTTGGTGGGTAATGAAAACCGGGTCCACTTGCATTGAGAATTATGTGGATTGGTGGACCGTTTTGACCGGATAGACCACTCAATGATCCGTTTAATCGTCCAGATAATTTTGGTGGGTAATGAAAACCGGGTCCACTTGCATTGAGAATTATGTGGATTGGTGGACCATTTTGACCGGATAGACCACTCAATGATCCGTTTAATCGTCCAGATAATTTTGGTGGGTAATGAAAACCGGGTCCACTTGCATTGAGAATTATGTGGATTGGTGGACCATTTTGACCGGATAGACCACTCAATGATCCGTTTAATCGTCCAGATAATTTTGGTGGGTAATGAAAACCGGGTCCACTTGCATTGAGAATTATGTGGATTGGTGGACCATTTTGACCGGATAGACCACTCAATGATCCGTTTAATCGTCCAGATAATTTTGGTGGGTAATGAAAACCGGGTCCACTTGCATTGAGAATTATGTGGATTGGTGGACCATTTTGACCGGATAGACCACTCAATGATCCGTTTAATCGTCCAGATAATTTTGGTGGGTAATGAAAACCGGGTCCACTTGCATTGAGAATTATGTGGATTGGTGGACCATTTTGACCGGATAGACCACTCAATGATCCGTTTAATCGTCCAGATAATTTTGGTGGGTAATGAAAACCGGGTCCACTTGCATTGAGAATTATGTGGATTGGTGGACCATTTTGACCGGATAGACCACTCAATGATCCGTTTAATCGTCCAGATAATTTTGGTGGGTAATGAAAACCGGGTCCACTTGCATTGAGAATTATGTGGATTGGTGGACCATTTTGACCGGATAGACCACTCAATGATCCGTTTAATCGTCCAGATAATTTTGGTGGGTAATGAAAACCGGGTCCACTTGCATTGAGAATTATGTGGATTGGTGGACCATTTTGACCGGATAGACCACTCAATGATCCGTTTAATCGTCCAGATAATTTTGGTGGGTAATGAAAACCGGGTCCACTTGCATTGAGAATTATGTGGATTGGTGGACCATTTTGACCGGATAGACCACTCAATGATCCGTTTAATCGTCCAGATAATTTTGGTGGGTAATGAAAACCGGGTCCACTTGCATTGAGAATTATGTGGATTGGTGGACCATTTTGACCGGATAGACCACTCAATGATCCGTTTAATCGTCCAGATAATTTTGGTGGGTAATGAAAACCGGGTCCACTTGCATTGAGAATTATGTGGATTGGTGGACCATTTTGACCGGATAGACCACTCAATGATCCGTTTAATCGTCCAGATAATTTTGGTGGGTAATGAAAACCGGGTCCACTTGCATTGAGAATTATGTGGATTGGTGGACCATTTTGACCGGATAGACCACTCAATGATCCGTTTAATCGTCCAGATAATTTTGGTGGGTAATGAAAACCGGGTCCACTTGCATTGAGAATTATGTGGATTGGTGGACCATTTTGACCGGATAGACCACTCAATGATCCGTTTAATCGTCCAGATAATTTTGGTGGGTAATGAAAACCGGGTCCACTTGCATTGAGAATTATGTGGATTGGTGGACCATTTTGACCGGATAGACCACTCAATGATCCGTTTAATCGTCCAGATAATTTTGGTGGGTAATGAAAACCGGGTCCACTTGCATTGAGAATTATGTGGATTGGTGGACCATTTTGACCGGATAGACCACTCAATGATCCGTTTAATCGTCCAGATAATTTTGGTGGGTAATGAAAACCGGGTCCACTTGCATTGAGAATTATGTGGATTGGTGGACCATTTTGACCGGATAGACCACTCAATGATCCGTTTAATCGTCCAGATAATTTTGGTGGGTAATGAAAACCGGGTCCACTTGCATTGAGAATTATGTGGATTGGTGGACCATTTTGACCGGATAGACCACTCAATGATCCGTTTAATCGTCCAGATAATTTTGGTGGGTAATGAAAACCGGGTCCACTTGCATTGAGAATTATGTGGATTGGTGGACCATTTTGACCGGATAGACCACTCAATGATCCGTTTAATCGTCCAGATAATTTTGGTGGGTAATGAAAACCGGGTCCACTTGCATTGAGAATTATGTGGATTGGTGGACCATTTTGACCGGATAGACCACTCAATGATCCGTTTAATCGTCCAGATAATTTTGGTGGGTAATGAAAACCGGGTCCACTTGCATTGAGAATTATGTGGATTGGTGGACCATTTTGACCGGATAGACCACTCAATGATCCGTTTAATCGTCCAGATAATTTTGGTGGGTAATGAAAACCGGGTCCACTTGCATTGAGAATTATGTGGATTGGTGGACCATTTTGACCGGATAGACCACTCAATGATCCGTTTAATCGTCCAGATAATTTTGGTGGGTAATGAAAACCGGGTCCACTTGCATTGAGAATTATGTGGATTGGTGGACCATTTTGACCGGATAGACCACTCAATGATCCGTTTATTCGTCCAGATAATTTTGGTGGGTAATGAAAACCGGGTCCACTTGAATTGAGAATTATGTGGATTGGTGGACCGTTTTGACCGGATAGACCACTCAATGATCCGTTTAATCGTCCAGATAATTGTGGTGGCAACTTATCACTCTTGTTCTGTTGTGCATGTGTTTTCGTTTTGCTTGCTTGCACGTTTTTATTTATTCTTGCTATGATTAAAATTGTAGTGACTAGTATATAAAAGGAATATTCACCTAGTTTCATTTTTGTTGACTCTAACTTTTATCTTTTCGAATTTCATCACTTTAGTTGTGGCATTTTTCTCTAAGTAACTTCATTTCGTGCTTGTTCGAATAATATTTGGTTATATTTTTCGTATTTTTTATTCATTTTTATATGCACTTGTTGGTTAAACTACATAATGGTACTTGACTTTTGATTTCGAGTAAATGATGCACTTATAATATTTTCCAAGTGTTTAATCGATTTCGCTTTAACTTAATTCGAACTTTTCAATAATTCAATTGTCCCTTTGAATCTAAACTCCTCCTGTTACTCTTCCTTTGTTACGGCCGGTCCTACTCACGAATAAATTAGGGCGATTGGGCATTCAGTCAGCATTCCTACCTCATCGAAAACAACCTTGTTAAGTGAATGCTGAAGAAACAAATAAATCATTTAAACTCTCCTTCCAAGTTGAAGGAAATATTATGACGCCTCTTTATGAAAGTGGAAATTCTTCGAAAGTCACGAAGCCGATGCCCCTTCTAACAGCCAGAAGAGCAATTAATGTAGTTTCACAGAATGACTGGACAGTGTGGAAGACCGAGAGGATCGATTAGATAGTTGCGGAAATGAGGAGATACAAATTGACGGTGTTCGGAATAAGTGAAACCCAATGGATCAATGCTGGACCGAATAGGAGTTTCGGGAGAGATGCTGTTGCAAAAATACACGGAAGACCTAGCAACGAGAGCGAAAAAAACTATGGGAGAAGGAAATATGAAACAGCTAAATGGCACAACGAAGAAACTGGCATGAAAACATGGTAAGGCAGAACGACGGTTCAAGGACAAAGAAGGCAGGTCAAACACTGAGATTCAAGAACGGAGGGTAGTGGGTAGGATACTCTGTAAGATTCTTGAACAGACTAGCCCAACTGAACACACCGGACATCGAAGCAACACACACACCTTCCGATGTATATCTCACTCCACCAACGGCCGAAGAAATCAGGACGGCCGGCTATCAGACAAATCAGCAGTGCGAAAGCAGCAGGACACGACAATATACAAGCTTAAGCACTAAAGACAGACATAAAAGCAACTGCAGGTATGCTCTACGTTCTATTCAGAAGGATTTGGGAGGAAGAACAAGTGCCACTGACAGACTGGAAAGAAGAACACCTCATCAAGATACCAAAGGAAAGAGATGTGAGTAAATGTGAGAACTACAAAGGCATCACAATACTGTCAGTACCAGGAAACGTTTGCAACAGAGTGTTGCTGAACCGGATGAAAGACTCTGTAGACGCCCAACTCCCAGATCAACAGACCGGATTTCGTAAGGATCGGCTGTATACAGATCGAACCGCAACACCACGGATCATCGTTGAACAATCAGTTGAATGGAACCCGTCACTATACACCAACTTCATTGACTATTAGAAGGCGTTTGACAGCGTGGACGGGAGGGTCTTATGGGAACTTCTTCAATACTATAGTGTACTTGAGAATCCATACGATGAACTACACTGCAACGTGATGCACGAAGGTGCTAGGTTTGAAGCTATTAGGAGTTTACTTAGTATGTGAACGGAACAATGACTTGTGACCGTGGACCAATAAGCTAGCTGTTCGATGCGTCTTAGCCCTTCTAACTAGAGGAAGAAGTCCAAGCTTGGAACGGGAATGTATACTCCATAAGCCAGAAGCACGAGTGAATAATAACAGACACAAATCAAACGTATATATACAGCATAAAACTGTCCTTGGGAAGCGTAGCGAAAATAGCATACTAAAAATACACAACGGACCAATAGCGTTAAAGATTCTCCCAAGTGGGAAATACGACATGAAGGTGAGAAGTGCACGTTTGGCGCGAAAACAAGGAAATTTAAATTTCCGAAATAAAATTATAAAATTAAGCTTTTTACCAAGTGAGTTCTGGGGATCTAACATCCCCAAAAGGAGGACAGCTGACAAACTCATTCCAGGTGAAGGCCAGAGTCAGACAAGGCTGCCTACTTTCACACTTTCTCTTCTGGTGGTCGACTGGTTCATGAAGACCTCGGTATCTGAAGAGAAGCACGGACAGGTTGGATGCAACTAGACGATTCGGACTTCACAGATACCCTGACTCTTCTATCCCATACACATCAACAAATGCAGATGAAGACAAACAGTGTAGCAGTAGCCTCTGTATCAATAGGTCTCAATATACACATGGAGAAAACCAAGCACCTCAAATACAACACGGCGAACACCAACCCAATCACACTTGATGGAGAAACTCTAGAACAGGTGGAATCTTTCACGTACCTAGGAAGCATCATCGATGGAGATGGAAGATCTGATGGAGACGTAAATGTGAGGAGTGGAAAATCAAGGACAGTATTCCTAAAGTTGGAAAACATCTGCAACTCAAAGCAACTGTCAACCAATATCAAAGTCACAATCTTCAGTAAGAACATCAAAACACTTAGCCATATTGTACGGAGCAAAGACATAGAGAACTGCCACATCCATTATCGAAAAGGTACAAGTATTTGCTAACAATTGTCTACACAAGATACTGAATGTCCGCAGGCTGGATATCATCAGCAACAGCCCACTGCGTGAGACAGCAGACCAACTTGCAGCTGAGGAGTAAATTAGGAAAACACGTTGGAAGTGGATAGGATACACGTTGAGGAAATCATCAAAATACATCAGGAAGCAAGCGCCAACTTGGAATTCTGAAGGAAAAGTGGCAAGAAGATCAAGGAACACATTGCATTGGGAATTGGATGCATGTATGAAATGGATGAACAGAAATTGGAAAGGATTGTCCAGGACAGAGTTGGATGGAGAATGCTGGTGGGCGACCTGGATTCCTGAACGAGGGATGATACCATCAGCAACAGCCTACTGTGTGAGAAAACAAACCAACTTCCAGCTGAAGAGGAAATTTGGGAGAGACTTTGGAGGTGGATAGTACGCATTACGGAAATCATCACGAAGCAAGCGCTAACTTGGAATCCTAAAAGGAAAATGAAGTGAGGATCACTTCTTACGTTGGGAATTGGGTGAAGACATGAAAAGGATGAATAACAACTGGGAAGGAATGTCCAGGACATAGTTGGATGGAGAATGGTGGTGGGTGGCCTGTGTTCCTGCATGAGGTGTAACAGGCGTAAGTATGTAATTAAGTATCTTTAAATCAACTGTTTACTGTGAAATTTTGATTTTTACATCAACTTCACAGTTGGAATAAACTTACTAATTGCACGCGTGACCAAGTAACATCCTGGTATTAGAATCTAGTTGAATTTGTATTACAGATGATTTATAGGTCTGTATTGAGTGTCCTAATTTAACAATTTTCAAAATGAAATGCTCTTTAGTTTAATAGAAAAGATAACTGATGATATTGGATCAATGGAAAGAAAGTTTGCACCACCAAATGTTGTTTATGACTCCCAAATTCATTTACGACAGAGATGGTTGGAAATTGAAAGATTGTAATGTGTCCCATTACTTACCTTTCTCTTTACATTAGCTTTTGAATGAGTTCATCAGATTGATATATTTATAATAATGGCTTAACTGAAGTTTATAAATAATGAGTTACTGGTTTCGGTGTATGTAGATATAAGAATCACGTCATGGTCGTTTATCGTGAATATGAACAAATAAACTGTGATTTTACTTAATTATTTTCTTTAATGGATTATAATTCCATTTCTATCCATGATTTATTTGGATACATGTTAGTTTTCAATGTTTCTTTCATACAAATACAATCCTGTCATTATTGTTCTGTTTGTAGTAATTCAAACAGATTATCACATATTCGAAAGTTTAATTGACTATTGTAGTATTGAATGTAGAATGAGTTCTTCAGATTGATAGTTTTAATAATGGCTTAACTGAAGTTTATGAATATGTAGTGGCTTTGTTTCGTTAATCAATTACATTTGTAACCGTTACTATATAGATTCCAACAGTGTCTGAAATCAGGAGGCAATAAGAAGTGACAGCTACAGTTTATTGGTGGATAGCACGAATCACAAAGCTTATAAACACACCAAGCGAATTTGAAGCAAAGGCGAATGTGTATGCGAGCAAGTACAGAGGCAAATTTATAGTCAAATCGAATAAGGCGCAGCTAGACAAGGCAATGCTAATAATAGGATTCGAGTACATATGTTCATGGGTAAGAGAATGATTCATTTAGCGATATTTGAGTTATCAATATTTTAGCTTGAGTCTGTCATGTGATCACGCGTAGATATATATACCGATATGATAATGGTGCTAACATTACAAGCGAATATGCGAATGCTTACTGTTGGAACAACATAGCCTGTTAATTAAATTAATAAAAGGGCTTAACCAAAATTAACCATAATCGAAATTGATTGTAGGAAAATCGCTATAAATAATAAGTTACTGGTTTTTTTGCACGCAGATATAACAATCATACCTCCACCGTTTATCGTGAATATGAGGAAATATATTGTGATTTTATTTTATTTATTACAGTCATACCCAGTGGAAGAAAAGTAAGAAAACAGAGTGAGATCTCTACGTTTGACGCCAAATCGGATTACAGGGAGGAGAAGATTTGAGGAATTAAAACTCCATGGCGTGTTAAGACGAACCTCACTGACAGGTCAGCCATTTTTCATAGGTTATGAGAATCTTCCGAAAAGGAACAAAAGCTAGATTTGAGCATAACCTCAACCACATTAATTCCTTTATAAGCAAGATACTCCCAGAAACAGTTGCCAGAGTTAGAATCTGTATTCCTTATAGAACAAGACAAAAAGTGCATTCTGAAAGTACTCAGAAAAGCCTGTTATTAGAGGTTACCTGTGTTTTGGATGAATAAAGAAACTTGTTGTTGGGAAACTCATGCAAACTGATTGGGTCTGGAATATACGTCAATTGGGATAACAGCCTAGTTGACCGTATTAAGAAACGACCGCCGACGAAATGGTGGAAATACCTCGTACTTAAGGGTTTTCAAATTGTGAAATTTCGAAGTAAAACGATCCCCAAATCACTCTGGGTGATAAGGGAAAGTGCTCTACAGAATTAAAAGTGTGCTGCACAAATGCTCGCTGCCTGCAATATAAAATGGCAGAGCTCAAGACAATGGTGAATATTGGGAAACACGGATGTCATTGCTGTCTTAGAAACATGATTAACGTCAGAAGTGTTTGAAAATGAAACTCAGTTGACTGGTTGTTTATTGCACTAGCCTTATTCTAAAAAACTAGAGATCATACCACAAGGTTCTGCCTTGGTCCTTTATTTATTGAAACGAATATTTTTCGTTCAAATGTAAGTGTTCGAATATGATGGGTATTTTTATATATTTATTATGTCACAGTTGAAATCACGAGTCGATCTAAGATAGAACACTATCGAAAACCTGGAAACAATGAACGACCTATTCGTCCTTGTATGGGGCTCCTCAGCATTTCTTACCCACGATCCCATATTCGGAACACGAACCTGGGATCCTTGGTCTCGCGTGCGAACACTTAACTTCTAGACCATTGAGTGGTTATTTTGATTTATTACTTCGTTGAGTTAGTTTTGTGGAGGTCGGTTTTCAAGTTGTAGGTTGTATTCGTTAAGAATTGATTCCAGTTGAAATGCCACCAAGTTGTTATGTAAAGCTCAGTAATAATTTACAACTGTTCAAACTGAAATTTGTACATCACAGTTTGAAATCGTAGCGATGGTCGGATGCTAAGTGATTTAATCTGTAATCCGCAACTTTATTGTTTGATGGATATGAAGACGAACTATTGATTGTAAACACTGCCCACTTGTTATGGTGTATGGTGTATGTTCCTTCTTCATCTTCGATATATACTTCCAGATTTACATTTACAATTTGTGTGAATACTAAAGGACAACTGTGTGCTTTCGCGTATGATATTAAATCGCTTTTATCCACCAAGTCTTCGTTCACTACTCTATTGACTATAATTCATTTATCTTTCAATTGACATTTAGGAGAGCAATTGATCATTCTCTTTTTGGTATGTGTACATCCTGTACAGATTGCCTCGATTCTGCCATCAAGTCATATACATTATAAGTAGAGATGGATGATGGCTATCAGTGCTATGCAGGACGCACGTTTCATCCTATTTTGAACTCATCAGATGGATGTGCTTGCTGACCACCATCCACCTTAGCTTATAATACTATTGACTTTGTTATTTAAGTTAACAACAAGAAATATATCGGTTGGCGTTTCCGTTTATTTCTTCTTCATTCTCCCAACGATAACAGTTTCATTTATCCATGACATAAACAGTATACCTACCTTTTAACTGATTTCACTTTTGATTAACCTTTTCGGATGTTCACACGAAACATTTTCGTCAGTTGTTGTCATCTCTCAGTATCCTTCACAGTTTTGTCAAGTTAACTGTGTGTAATCAAATCTATGCTGATAAAGTGGATCGTCAATGCTTAAATTTTTAAGTGATCAAATTAAATTGAGTGTACGTATTACCAATGCACCAGTTGTTCCTGAATTTCAGACTTAGAATTCTGTATTTGTGGGAGAAGTGAATCATCCATGAATATCCAGGATATGAAACTAAGATTTCAATGTTTTATTGAAATTAAGCACGAAGCTGAACTGGTAGAAGATAAGCTGGATGTAAAATCTGTGATAATTTACGCTCTCGAGTTAATTCATCAGAATAGTTCTTACACCAATTCCTCTTATCGTGTTAGAAGCCTAGTAGAAATACTTTTGTTAGTTATCGAATTGTCTAAAACAAATATTATAAGATATCACTTGTCATTACAGAATGAAAATCATAGTGTTAAGTGTGTTAGATACACACTTTTAAAGTGTAGATTGTACATAACACCTAAGACACATAGCTTTGCTCATAGTAAACTATCGATTAACTGACCATGCAAGATGTCCACTATATTAAAACCGAGGTAGTTGAAGACAGGACTGGTAAAATCGACAATAACTGCCACATGTGGCTTCCACATCTCAGTGTTTTTAAGCATTACGATGTTGAATTTTTCGTGTAAATATTTGTGAATATGATACGTATTGCGATAGAAAGCTTTAAAGAGAATTTGTTTACGATACGATAAATGAGGCCGTGTTGTGATTGTTATATCCTAGCGAAGATTAAATTACGAGTAACTTCTGAGACCTATTAATGGACTAATATTATCTACATATTTTTATGTTATAACTATTCAGTAACTAGACTATGTAAATCTATATTCCTCTTATCATAAGCTTCATTTTGACCTATAGATTATTATTGTACGACTTACTGTTCTTAAGTTACATTCGGTTTATTGACTACTGTCTCCCAAATTCACAGCCAAGTTTTGGCTTTATTGTGTATAAATGTTATTTCCTATTTTATGGTACGATGCGGTCTGTTTGCGTGGTATGTAAACCTAGTATGTCTGAGAGAAATGATTCACATAGTGGAATCTGTTATTGGCATTCTGGAGTCATTTCATACACATAGTTCCCTTCATTATTTTAAAGAGAGCAAGAACAAAGATTGGTGCAGAATAATATGAATTCATTTCATTTCGTTAGGTTCTCATCATCTGCTTACAACCTAAAGTATTTGAAATTCAACGGGCTAGGCTAATCAGACCGGTCGGACGTCATTGGTTTAGTACAGTACAAGAGCGAATAAGTCGTATTTCGATTGGCGAATAAATTACATGATAAAAAGCGAGCCTAAAGACACAACAGTAATAACTCCACATCATTGAGATAGGAAAACAGATAATGGAAAACTCAAGTGCCTCTCAAAACCACCACTAACAGATCTTATCACTATTTGATAGGAAATACTTAAAATCGTACAAATTCTATACTCGATAGAAGAAAAGTGACTTGAAAATCTCCAGGTCCTCCTAACGTTGTCCTAGACTTCCCTCGATTTTACAGTTGCAATATTGAGTCTGAGGTGACATGAAGTAAATAAAAATGCTGAAATATCTTACGTTATATTCCTTAAAAGTTTTGAGAGCTCTCCATCTGTGTAAATTAGTTCTATTCATGTTTGTTTCATCAAACCGAAAATGTGTATTAGCGTTTCGAAGATCATATTGTATGGTTGTTTCAACTATCCGCTTCTAGTTTCAATTTCCCGATGGTCTCAGTCTAAGGCTTCTGTTCTTCGAACAACGCATAAGCGAACAATATTGTTTTCACTCAGATAGTCATCAGTCTTTACTCTAATATCTATGAATATTCACATATTCGGTGAGCATACGATAAAGAAAGGTGAATCATTTCGAATAATTTATCGTAAACGTTAGTCATTTCCCAATGGCGTTCGATCCCGTCTAATGCACATCTCGGAAACTATGTGGATCCGAACCTACAGACCTAGTTTCAGTTCAGAAGAAATTCCTGACACCCCTGTTCATTTCTTGGTCCGATACGACTCAATAAACGATTTGATTAGTGTTTTCACATTCTGTATTCGTTTGTCATTTTTCACCCCTAGCCGTTTATGTTCTTCAGTAAATTCTGGTGATGCTCTAATTTAAAACAATATTATTGGCTTATTTTATTGTTGGTTTTCGTCGAATGTTTTTCCTACCAATTGTAAGTGGATTTTGTGCGCTTGCTACATCGTTGGCTCACATTTTCTTTTGGTCGTCTCTTTACCAGCTCCTCCCATTCGCTCTACTCTGCACGCTCCCCCAGTATACAAAGTACCTTCTAGCTAGACACGAACTGCTATTTATGGTAAGAAAATAGCGCAACAAACGTAAAATTCTTTTCACGTTTTGGAAGAACTATTGATAATATTACTTCAAATGTTTTCTGATACATATGTTGTTTTACAATTATCAAAATAGTGGTCGACATTATTTTATACATAAATAAATTTGATTCTATATGGAATAAAACATATTTATCACATCTGGTGATTTACTGCATTTGTAACTACTAATGCATATTAAAGTTTCTCGTGTCTTCAGTTCTGTTTCGCGATTCTCTCGATTGTGAATCTTTATTAGTTTCTGTTCTTCCTTTATTTTCATTATTATTCCGAATACCAGAGATTTGCATATCCCTCCCTGTCATTTCAGACATTCCATTATAATCTTTTGCATATTTTTTCTTTGATTTAGCTCGAATCTTGAAGTCATCTTTAATATATGAACTAGAATATCGATCCGAACTTCCAATTGTATCTCTGTCGGAATATTTTCGACTACGTTTACCATATTTTGTGATTTTACCACCATACTGAAATGTAGTTGTTTCTGAATCAATATCACCAAATATTGAATAACCACGAGAATAGAAAAGACCTTCATAGCGTTTACCACCTGCCTTGTTTGATTGTCTCTTCTTATAATAATTGCCATCGCTTTGAATCAATTTCATATCATTTCTCCCACTACCGGACGAACTTTCTTCTCTGCTAGTTACATTCATTGCTTCGTTTTGTGCTCTGTCAATCGTCTCCATCAATGAATCACTCATGGACATTTGCGTATTTCCTAATGTTACTAAATTGATTGTTATATAAGTAATTAGTAGTATTAAATGAAGATTAATAGTCCTTTCTTCCATCACAATGATAACTAAGGGAAATAAACCAAACTGTTCTATGCATACGGCTAACTTGATCATATATACGTATTTATATGAATTGTTACTTCATATGACACAGTTACTAAGTACATTTTGATGTCAGCAACAATTAGAATATTAAGTATGACAAAAAGATATGTATTACGTAGTATTTAGCTAACGTTTTACGCAACTCGATTTACATTAAACTTGGTTTTAAATTGATGATAATAAATTAATTAAATTAAAATATCTGGTAGTTTTGCTGTGAGACTTGACAGTTGACTAACTGATCTTCTATTCGTCACCAATTGATATCGTCTGAGGTACAAGTAGAAACTAGGGCCACTGAACAGTTGTTTCTCCTGGCACTGGTCTCCTCAGGAATATGCATCGAGAATTAGGCTAGTAACTGAAGTCATGATTTTTAGTGCATGCCACAGAGGAGTCCAGTACTAGGGTGAAACAACTATTCAAGGTTCCTGGTTTTTCATGGTACATCGATTGGCGTCAGTCTGTGACAAATAACACCTTCTGATTTACCTAGTCGTCACAAAATACTTCCATCAGAACTGCCACCTGATATTCGTTAGAATTTACTGAATCATTCGTAAAATTTAGCAACTGAAAACGAAGGTCACCCTTGGAAGTTATCGCAATACTTTGCACATACTAATTGAATTCTCCGAGTGTATGACGAGATTCTCTTGTTTTGATGCAGCTTTTAACCTTGTTCATTCCTAGTTCCATTAATTAATTCAGTGCTGTCTACACATAAACCACGGTTAAAGCTGATTGATTGAATAAGCTAGGAAATAATGGTTATTATAACATGTATTACATGGTCACTAGAAATCCTATGCTATTCAGTAACCAGAAAACAGTGATCAACTGACTATTTTTTGTAGTTTAAACGATTGAATGCCAACCATTGGTATTAATTTTGTTAACATTGATATTCTCCCTTAGCATTGCGAAATCTCACAGTGAATTTATTCTCATATAACACTTGATGTAAAGCAGTTAAAGTGGAAATCTACAGTTTAATTTATTGGTCAGTAAGACAGACGTTTTCTTACTCCAGATTGTGATTGATCCCTCTCCGTAGTGAAAACTATCTTATTGAGCCATTTATTATGGTACTGAGTTTATTAGTACTAATCATCTAGTCACTTGCAATCTAATTTTAGGTTGCTTTGCAATATATATATATATATATATATATATATATATATATATATATATATATATATATAGTGATTTTTTAATTAAATACTCTCATTCACTTAGGCTGCATTTTTGTGATCTCCCGTTCAATGAGTTATAAAGTTGTGATGGGAGAGGGATAGGTAGTAGTCATATTTTCTGTCGATTAATATATTATAAGTTGAAACCTGACTTGATTATCTTATCTATTTTATTCGATAATATCATTAGTAAACATTTTGCGAAAAGGAATTCTAGACGGAACTATATTTTTAGATGGTCAGTCAGTCAGTCAGTAACAACGTAGAACTTCGTACGTACATACATCAGTTCGAGTTGCCATACCACCACTTTTAGATGGTAGATTGAGGAGATCTTTATCAAATTACATTATGTTATAAATATAGCATAAATAAATCACTTATTAGGGAAAGGAAAGACCTCGAAAGTTTGAGTAGGTGAAAAACAGAACGGCTTTCTCATATATAGGAATCAATCTCTTTTCATTGTAATGGATAAAATTACCAGTGATGTAGTTAAATCAAGGTCAATCTCCTTTTTATGTATACTATGCTCATCAGTTTGTCCCTCGATATTAAGTATATTCACAACAATGTCTTTCTGATCTGGATCACTATGGAGCTTGAAGTCATTAGGATATCTGTAAATAGCGGAATTCGAGCAAAATTCATCATTTATTGTCAATCAAGAGATAACTATATCTGATACAATTGTGATCTATAATTAATTTACCAACCATAGAATTTATTTATACTAGAATGTCCTATACACTCTTAATATACAAAATCCGCATATGGAATAAATTTTTAATATTTTTACGTATAATTTTTTACTGTCTTTTTGCTTAGCTGCGTTAAGTTCGTTAGTGATTAGTAACGAAATACATCATATCTATTAGATTATTATTTCCTGACAGATGATAACCATATCTTGAGAATTAAAGACGTTATTACCGAAACTCAAGCGTAGTACACAGTACCTCAAACGCTACTATGTTGTATGCTACTTATATTGACAGATATAAGTAGTATGTAACACCAATCAGATGTAGAATGCCTGTCAAGAAAGGATTGAGCTGAAGAGAACCGAAAGAGGAACAAAAAGTAATTGTAACAACAACGGAATTGAAAGAATCATAAATGGTGTAAAGGACAACTGATGGAAGATGTGCAAATTACGTATTTGATGTTTGGTTTTCATAATTTGCTAAATCACTCTTTAATATGCATTAGTTTCCATACTTGAGTTTTTCGTTCACTACACTACTTGTCTATAAAAACCGAATTTTGTTCATCAAGTTTCTTTGAGATTATGACTCCTTATTGCTAATCATAATCGGATAGCTTTTCACATCGAAAGCTGTTTAAAACAAAACAGTGCAGATTTAGAAAATTTTCTTTGCTGAATCATCTTCAATTTAAAAAAAACGGGATCATTTGTCAGTCAGTCAGTCAGCTACAACGTAGGACCAGGCACATATATGCATCGGTCCAAGTTGCCATACCTCAATAACACAACGCGATGAACACCAAATTCATGGAAGTAGTAAATTCAATGGTGGTAATATATAAAAGAAAGATTGCATATAAGGGAGAAAGAATTAGTTCACATCAAGAAAGATATGAAGCGATTCTAATCTCTTAGTTTAAGGAAAGACAAGGAGTGTATACACTAACGCCATTGTGATCGATTCTGAGACATGTCACCAAGAGTCTCCAACCATTGGTTAGAGTAGTCACGCGGACCCCAACCAAGTAGTCTGCATCTATCAACATGGTTCAGACCAGATATTAATGACTTCAAGCACTGATGCCACGTTTTGGTTTGGTCGCCCCTAACTTTCTTCCAACCGTCTCCGACACTAGTCAACATTGCGCGTCGTGGTAATCGGTGTTCATGCATACGCAACACATGGCCCAAACATCTCAGTCGATGAAGATTCAAAACCTTATCAACTGATTAATCATCATTCTCTAATACCCTGCGTCTAACCTCACTATTACTTACCTGGTGATCCTAGCAGATGCTGGCAATATTTCTAAGGCATCTGTGGTCAAATACTTGTAGCTTACGAGTATCTTCAACTATTAATGGCCGCATTTATTTGTCAATAGTCGGCTATAATTTTATTGACTCAATTGTATAAACTTTAAACATTTAGGTCAGTGTTATTGTTGCTGAATATTGTCTAACTAGCAAACTGTTCATTTTTCTGGAAACTCTACTGTTATGCGCAAAGTCGGATATTTTTTTTCATAGATAACTGGTAAGAAGTTAGCTTAGTTAGACAATAGGAAATCACTTAATCACATAGATCTATTTTCAAGACAATAAATAGGACCGATTGTTTTACATTGAATTCAATTGATTACTCAGGGTTAATAATATAAGAATCAACATTTAGCATTTTTACTGAAATATTTTTATTCAGTTTGCGAATAACTCTACAGATGTATCTTATCCTTCAGCTTCCATGAACGAATTATTATTTAATAATTATTTATATCAATGTAGTATGAAACAATCGACTTGTATCAAAGAACACTATGATATTTGTATACAATAATGATTTCTTTATACAATATTTCGTGTTTAATTTGGAATACCTAGTCAATACTTTCGGTTTTGCCAGCGAAATTATTTCTAATTCGAATATTGGAGAGACTAATAGAGCAAAAATTGGAATTACTTCTTGACAAACTGAATTTGACTACTTATAGTTACCTCAAAGACTCACACAAGTATTCAACTAAATACTTCACTATCGTGTATTTGAACTTTGTGAATATATATATATATATATATATATATATATATATATATATATATACTGTATAATATTACTACTTCCGTTAAGAAAATAACATTCGATTGCATAGTTTAATGATGTAGAAAACGAATACAATGCCTTTTCCGGAGTATTGCAATGATTACCTAGGAATGTGCTGTATATTAGTTTCAGAAATCAATAGTTTTTTTATTTTTAAGAGTTTTTATTATTCTATTCTTGATACTTAAGACTGAATTTCAGTCGGTAGCGAAAAAGCTATATTAATTAAATGCGTTCAGGTTAAAAAATATTGCAAAAAAGAGTGATTAAAAATAAACCTTGAAAATCAGCAACAGGACAAAATAAATCTATATGAATAAATAAACACTGCACTGGTTGAACCTGTTGGTGAAGCCTTGACTACTCAGTAATGGATAACTTCCTGGTGTTTGAAGAGATTTGTACTGAGTCTGAGTCCAAGTGTGAATACGAATACTAAGATCCAGGTATATTAAGCTGAGAAATGCCAAACAAGACAGAATGTACGTCGTTGATTTAAGCTCTAGCTACAATCCAAACACACCACTCACGTTTCAATTAATTAAACGTTATCTTTTTGTAATAGTATCTTGACTCTTTATGAAATAAGAAATCGTTTCTTTCTTTCATATGTATCCCTGCCTTAATAAGATATCCCAAAATGTGGTATCTTCAAAATAGTTTACCGTCATAAAACGGTGTCATCATTAAAGAATGATTGATTCCTTCGATGAGTAATCCACTCGTAAAATTACCCACCAATATAAATTTGTCTGGATGTACGTTCGATCACAGTAGCATATAAGTTAGTAAATACTGTAAAACAGATAATTATGTGTATTTACTCGTAAACCTTATAACATGTTTCGCATTAACAGTTCTCTCGTAGTAGGAAATAGACATTTAGAAGTAGCGTGAGTGAATGAAACAACATAGAGAATCATTAATTAATGCAATCTAAAATGTTATTACATAGCAACAAAATGTCTCTAACACCCAACCATTCGT